TCTAATCCACGTGGCCTGAGGCAGGTCACACCTATTTGTACTGCCAAAGAGGACAGGGGTGCCCATTCTCCAGATCCTGGCTATTGCTAAGTTTTCTGTTATCGTTGCCACCTGAAAGAGAAAAAAAATCTCTCACTGCCACTTTGTGTATGTTTTTATTATTTTTTTTCTAAATCCATACGGTGTCATTATGTACAGTTCTGCAACTGACTTTTTCCACCTGACAATTCCTTCACTCCTTTTCTGCTTGCTCATTCAAGGGTCAAGTAAAAAACCATCTACTTGGGCTAACAGCCTCCCAAAGGAGCCCCTCTTGGTGCCCACAGCTCTGCCCTCGCTGATGAGTTGTCAGTGAGCGCAGGAGCAGGCAGCAGGCCAGAAAGGGCTATAATGCCACTGCCCACAAGGCCAACTTTCTGGGCACAGGGACAGTGCTGCAAGGCACTGACAAGGCTGGCTCATCCTTCCTGCTCGGCACCTCCCATCCGCTGGCCAAGCCCCCACATAGGCCAGCCTTACCGAAATACAGGGCAAGGTGACATCTAAGCCAAACCCCTCTTCTGCCCAGGCTATAATTTCCTGATTAGGCGCCACGGTCACCATGCCATCTGCACACACTGATTGCTTCCTGCCGTCCTCTCCAACCCTGGAGCTCCCTGCTCAGAAGAGAACCATGGCTTGATTTTTAAAGTTCAAAAAATAGCTTTGATATGAAAGAACAAGGTTGCTGTGAGGCAGCAGAGCAGAGAGGCACATGTGCGGCCTGCATACAAATACTGACTCTGCCCTTTAATGACAGTCTTGGCCAAGTGACAGTCTCTGAGTGCCTGTTTACCCACTTATAAAATGGGGATAATGATTCCTTAGAAGATTGTTGCACAGCATTATAGCACAGTAGTAAAAAAAAAAAAAAAAGCCAGGCATGCTTGGTTGTGAATCCTGGTTTCCGCTTACTTGTAGAGCCTTGGGTAGGTTACATCATCTCTTTGAACCTCAGTGTTACCACCCATTTAATGGGAATAATAAAAATGCCTAAGTGTCGTTATGAGATTCAAATCATGTATATGAGAATACCTTGCAAACAGAAATACTGACAAAACAGGTGTTATTTCCATGGTCAACAAAGACGATGGCTATACCTTTGGAGTCTGGGCCTGAATTCTGCTCAGTCTGCTCGTTCTCTGGTCCAGTGGCAAGATTTGAAGAGGTCTTCTCATCTCAGGCCCCAATCCCAGGCATCGAGGCCCCACTGGGGAAGAGGGGAGTCAAGGCCAGTTGCGCTCTCGGGATGTGAACTGTGGGGCAGTGGTGCCTCTGCTGTGAGAATGTCATTGTCCCCTCACCAGTTTACAAAAGTTGAGGCCAATCCTCAGGTCCCCAAGAGTTTTAGAACAGACTCTTCACCCCCTCTGGCCTCTTGCACGCTTCCTTTTGAGACTTTGGTTTCTCTTTTGCCCATTACCCTGATTTTCTGCCACAGAGGAGAACCCAGGAGCTGAGCAAGAAAGCACGAATGCTCCCTCTCCTTCCAGCTCTCCAGTCCTGGCTCCCCACCATTCTCCTGGTGCTACCTCACACCAAGCCAAAAGGAAAATCAAAGCTAGAACTTCGGGAAGGTAAGGTATGTATGTAGCCAAGCACAGATAAACTTCTTGGTGGCAGAATGTGGG